CACATTTCCAATAAATTTTAAATTTCACTAATTTTAAAACTACTCTGACATCAAAGTTTCCCCGCGAAGTTTTTCGTCACCATTTCTTTCATCACGTGGAAAATAAGTAAATAAAATTTCCTTAACAGTTTCATTGGTCCTCGCGGGAATCGTACACTTTTTGTTACTGTGTTATGAAATTTTACGGCGAACTACACGGCTCTCGTATTTGCTTAAATAAAACTCATAAGAACTGAAAAGAAGCTTTTCACGATTGTGTGTTTCATTTACCTAGTAACTAGTCATTCAACAGTTAAAGTTACAGCCTATATACGTCCCACTGCTGGGCACAGGCTTCCCTTCATTTCTGAGGAGGGTTTTTTAGGGCAAGGAAATGTCCAGTGCAAATGTACAATGCCAGAATACATGTTGGCGAACTTCACATATCTGCGAAATATTTTTTTTCTTATTTCTCAGACATGCAGGTTTCCTCACAATGTTTTCCTTCACCGCCCAGCACGTGGTAAATCAGCACTTAAAATTGCAATTAACAATTCATTGGTGCCGGTGGGGATCGAACCCGGGTTGCCCACGTACTGTTAAATTTACAGCCAGCGCTAACCATCTGAGCTACCAGAAGTGAGAATTACTTTTTATCCGGACAGTGGCCACCGGTAAGTCTGACATTTTTAGATGCTACAACAATAAATACTTAATAGAGATGTCTATAATTTGATCAGTTACTTATTATTAGTTTATTTAGTAGTAAGCAGGTGCATCATCGAACTCGGACGATCGAATCAAACATTTGTAAAAGAAATAGAGTGCGTACATAAACACGACCGTCATCGTCCGATGACGCAGAAAATCGGCTGATCAACCGTTGAGTCCGAACTTGTTGGGATTTCTCTCCAGATTTCCGGCGTTTACAGTGCAAATTGAGTGTATTTATAGTTTAATTTATTCATTTTTTCTTTATTCTGTTGTTTCTGTCAGTGTTGTTATCTACCTAAACGACTATGGATATTGAATAATTAAAGTTGTGTTTATAATAGACAATTACAATAATCGAGAGGTTTCGAAACGGTTATGGGCTGAAGTTGGTTTGGAAATGGATATAGCGGTTCCAGTTATTTAAATAAATGCGTCTTCACTCTGTTAAGCAAATCAGTCAACTACAGAATACCGGCAACGTCCTATGTCGGCACAAGTGGTACACTGTTGCAGTGTAAGCACATACACGTCCGAGTACCTCGTCCGACAAAAGTTCTGTCCGCCAACGGCCGACAAAATCGGTTTTGGTGTACACGTACCGTAAGATATTCTTGAAAAAGCTAAACTAGAGTAAATAAAGGGTTCTGAAGCCAAATTAGTGGTTTGTCTGTCTGTCTGTTTGATTCACTCTAATTCACGCATAAACTACTGCACCGATTTACATGACATTTTGTATTTAGGTAGTTAGTAACCCGGGGCTGGGTGATGAGTTGCTCGCGTCCGTAGGCTTCGACCACCTAATCCTAGGCCCACCCTACACGTGCCCCCGGGTGGTGCTAAACGAGCGACAAAGCCGTCAGGATAGACTCGGCTCCTCGCCGTATGGTAGCGGCGAAAAATCTACCACCCCTTAGTTCGCACCATGAGCCAAGAAATAAAAGAAATGGCCCCGAGTTCCCGGCGCCCCTTTAATGGGGCAGGGGTGCGAAGAATCTCCAGGAGAAAAACCGGCGACGAGGTTCGCCATCCGTCACGTCCTGTCTCCCGGGAGGGCGAAAAGTGGAATGCGGAGGCCCGTCTGGCTACGCTGAATGTATGTGGAGCAATGAATGATAAGATGGATGAAGTATGCGAAATGATGAATGATAGAGGAATAGATGTGTTATGTGTAAACGAGACGAAACGAAAGGGGAGAGATGTCAATGCACATGGCATGTATACCGCTTACTGGTCTGGTGTAGACGAGACCGAGCGGGCATGCCAGGGAGTCGGTGTCATCCTTTCAGAAAGAATGGGTCAATGTATGAAAGAGTATGAATGTGTAAGCCCAAGGCTACTGTAGATACGAATGAAAGTGGGCTTAAAGAAATTGTTTGTGCTAAGGGTGTACGCCGCAGATATGTCTAAGCCCACTTATATCCGAGAGCAGTTTTGGGACATGGTAAGGCTGGTGTTGATGAAATGTAAGGAAAATGAAAATATTATTATGTTAGGAGATTTTAATGGAAGGGTTGGCGTGAAGAGGTCTGGTTATGAAAGGATATTGGGAACGTTTGGCGATGAAAGAATAAATGAGAATGATGAAGACCTCCTCACCGTATGTGTGGAAAAGAATATTCTTGTAGCGAACAATTTCTTTCGCCATAAGAGGATTTGTGACTCCTCTTATGGCGAAAGAAAGTATACATGGGAAAGAGGGGATGATAAAAGCATGATAGATTTCATAATTGTGGATGAAAAAATGAGGAGCGCAGTGGTAGATACAAGGGTTTACCGGGGGTCGAACGTAGGTACGGATCATTACTTGTTCTTATGCCGAATTAATGGTCTATTCAGGCGTTGGCGGCATCGGACATCTGTACGTGTCTACCACTGCGTTACAGCGTATAAGAATAGAGAGGTTACAAGATGAAGGTGTGAAAGAGAAGTATAAATGCAGACTGAGGAAAATATAAGTGGGTTGAATAAATTATGTATGAATGATTTAGACTTGAAGAATGTATGGAATAATGTTAAGAAAGTTTTGGTGGATGCAGCCACCGAAATATGTGGTGTAAGTAAGAGAACGAATGAAAGGAAAAGTAATACGTTGTGGTGGGATGATGAGGTACGGATGGAAGTTGAAGCAAAAAAGAGAGCATTTTTTTATATCCTGCTAAGCCAGCGCTTATCTACGATCCCACCTGATGGTAAGTGGTGATGTAGCCTAAGATGGTGAAGCGTACTGACTTAACAAAAGCCTATTCACTCTTGCCTTGAAGACACCCACACTGTAATGGGATGGAAAGTCAGATGCTGGCAACTTATTCCACTCCTTTGCTGTACGCATGATGAACGGTGTGGCGAACTGTTTGGTTCGAATGCGTGGTAATTTAACAACGAAAGGGTGGAGACTGGCCGAACGTCTGGTTGTCAGATGGTGGAAGGGAGAAGGTGGAATTAAATTATGTAATTCCTGCGCACACTCTCCGAAATGCATCCTGTAGAAAACCGAAAGGCTGGCTACTTTACGTCTGTGTTCGAGGCTGGTAAGATTGGTTTTAATCAAATTCGGGTCACCGATAAGCCTCTTAGCACGCCTTTTCATTAAGTCTAGAGCTGCTAGGTAGCATTTTACAGCACCAGCCCATATGTGGCAGCAATACTCCATGCACGACCGGACTTGCGCTTTATATAAAGTAAGCAGCTGTCTCAGCGTGAAGTATCGCCGCACCTTTGCAAGGACTCCCAGCTTCCTTCCAGTGCTTTGGCCTTGGACTCAATGAACCGCCTGAAGTTCAAATTTGAGGATATTTCAAACCCTAACATCTGCAGGCGGTCGGTATATTTCAGTGATACATTTCGGAAAAAAGGAGCCAAGGTGAGCTGGCTCCTTTTTGCAGTGAAGAGACACGTTTATGTTTTGGAGGCGTTGTACTTCACAAGATTGGTGTCGCCCCAATCGGAGACTGTCTGTAGTGTGAGATTCACACGCTCTACCATAACTTCTCTTTCAGACTGGATTTGATCCCGACTGGCCCGAGGACTTGTTTGGTATCTCTCAACAACTGTGCTATCGTCTGTATACCCATAGATACCGGGCATAAGCAGATCATTAATATGCAGCAGGAAGAGAGTTGCGGAGAGAACGGATCCCTGAGGAACACCGGCGTTAGTCGCCATAGGATCGGATGAGCAGCCATCGACGACGACGCGGAGAGACCGTTTACTCAGAAAGTCCTTTACCCATTCAAACAGATCAGGGGATAAGCCGTACGCTGGGAGTTTAGCCAAAAGGCTAGTGTGCCAAACTCTGTCAAAGGCCTTCGAGACATCAAGGGAAACAGCAAGTACTTCCCCACTGTTCTCGAGTGCCTCGCCCCATACGTGTGTGGCATACGCTAGAAGGTCCCCAGCTTTTTTCGGCGAAACCCATATTGCCGGTCACTAAGGAATAGCATGGCTAGCTTTACTAGCAACCAAAGCTGGTAATTCTGGCGGTATGATGATGAGATTGAAAGAAAAAAGGCAGAATTTACACGTATAAATAAGGGAGAAAAAGAAGTTGTTGAAATGAAAAAGCAAGAGAGGATAGATAAGAATGATAGAAGGATATCTGATAACTTCCAGGCAAATATTAAAATGTTCTGGACGCTCGTAAGAACTGCCAGGGGAAATTCAAAACAGCCTAGAATGAACGCTATACGAAACGAGAATGGCTACATGCTGAATGATGAAGTTTCGAATTTAAAGAGATGGAAGGAATACTTTGAAAGCGTGTTGTTTAAACGGGCTGGAGAGGGTGTGGTTGCAGTCCTGCTGTGCACATTGTTTAATCTATGTTGAGAACTGAAGCAGGTACCGGAAGACTGGTGCAATGCCGTTATAGTCCCAATATATAAGGGAAAGGGCTCGCAGCAGGACTGTAAAAACTACCGTGGTATCAGCTTGCTTAGCATTGTGGGTAAACTGTATGCTAAGGTGTTAATTGAAAGAGTTATGGAAGAAACTGATGGAAAAATTTGGGATGTGCAAGCTGGATTTAGAAAGGGGATGGGGTGTACGGATCAAGTCTTTTCCATGCGCATGATTGCGGAGAAGTTTTTGGCCAAATACCAGAAAGTTTTTTGAACGTTCATGGACTTGGAAAAGGCTTATGTCAGAGTGGACAGGAATGTGTTATGGTAAACACTGAACTCATTTGGGTTGAGCGCTGGCTTGACACAGGCATTAAGGTCTCTTTATAGGGACTCTAGTGCTTGTGTCAGGATCAACGGGGTCTACTCGGACTGGATAGTTGTCTGCAAACTTTGAAAGTTGGACAGTTTATGGACAGTTGTTTGCAAACTTGGAAAGTTGAAGAAAATGGGTTGAAAATGGGTGAGTTAACCGTCAAATTCCTTTTGTACGCCGATGATCAAGTCATATTTGCATCGTCGGCGGCCGAGTTGCAAATGATGGTTATTTTGATGAACTGGTCATTGAAAGAAAGGGGTATGAAAGTGAACGCAAGTAAGACGAAAGTGATGGTTTTTGAAAGAGAAGAAAGTAAAACGTTACGTGAAATAGGAATAGAAGGGGAGTTGATTGAGCAAGTGGATGAGTTTGTATATTTGGGATGTTTATTTAGCAGGGATGGTAGATATGATAAGGATATAGAACGACGAGTGAACGCAGGAAATAGAGTTAATGGGGCTCTACACGCTATTATGAGGAGTCAGAATGTGTCAAATAAGGCACGTATGGCAATTCATAATGCTGTGTTAGTCCCTACTTTAATGTATGGTAGAGAAAGTTGTGTCTGGCAAAATAAGCATGAGAGTAGAATAAATGCTGCAGAAATGCAGTCCTTAAGGAGTATGCTAGGGCTGAATCTGAATGACAGGGTGAGAAATAGTGTAATATAAGAGAAAAGTGTGGTGTGCAAGATGACGTTGTGGCAAGGATTAAGAAAGGAATGCTTCGGTGGTTTGGTAATGCAGAAAGAATGAACGAGGAAAGAGTGACAAAGCAAATTTATCTTGCAGAAGTGAACGGCAGGGTCGGGAAGGGACGCCCTAGACGAAGGTTTATCGACCAAATCGGCGATACATTAAAAATGGGCCAGATTAGGAGTACCTACTCTTAACCGACGAGCGTATATGCGTAGATATATGGATGTAAAGGAGGCGAGAGAGGTGTGTCAGGATTGCGCCAAATGGAAGTCCGTAGTCTCTGCCTACCCCTCTGGGTGACAGGCGTCAGTGTTTGTGTTGTGTGTGCAACCCGGGGCAACTTATAGGCTACTTTTTAATACCAGATTTATAAATAAAGTTTAAGATATTGTAGTTATAACCTTGGTAAAATAATTTGAAACTACACCGATTTAGTTATCAAAATAGCGCCATCTATCATCAAATGGAAAAAGTAGTATATTTTTCTTTCAGTTATTAAATTAAATAATACAAATAACTTACATTTATATGTTTCAATAATTGGATTTTTAAAATTATTTAAAAATTATAACGTTTAGTGTTTCAGTATTTTTGTGATTTTGTGATTTTATTTTAAAAAATTTAATAATTTCAATAGATAATAGTGACGTCTATCAAAAATATAAAAATTGACAAGGTTTTTATTTCAATTGCTAATCTGTATGTAAAATGACCAAAACTGGTTTAGCTGCAATTATTGCAAAATTTTCATTATCACTACATTTTTATTAAAGAGATTTTTATATATTATATGTCGTGTCCAGATCGCAGAATTGATCATATATCATAAACAAAGACATTTAAGTAGTAGTAATAGACCGGACATCAGCAACAAAATTGTCACCTCTTACTTATGTCCTACAGGATATGTTTCGGATTTTTTGTCATTTAGTCTTAGTGACATCGTCAAAAGCTCAAGACGCATTCGTTTCCTAAGTTTAAAAAATATTTTTATAGAAAATATGCCCGACTGTGCATTTCAGTATTGTAAGTCCCGATATGGAGCAAAAACTGAATGTGATTTCGGTATATTATCGCAAGAATAATGTATATTTATCCAATAATTTTTAAATGTTATTATTTCTGGTAGAATGTTCTATAACATTTATCATTATTGTAATAAGCGCCCTCTGTTATCCAGTTACTTCATGATTTAGTTACCAAAGAGTTAGTGATTGAGAACGTTTATCGATTATTGTTTTCGATAAAAAATATTATACCGGATGCCGATTTAATCATCTACAATATTTAAGGAGGTAAAACAGTAAACGATACTGTACCGGTACCAATAAAGAAATCGGCTGGGCCTGTGTCGGGACATATGGTCATTAGTTTTAACATGAAACATCTATGTCAGCTAGTACAATCAGTACAACCAGTCAACAAGACTGAAGACTTTTTTAAATTTTAATATAATTCTACAACACAAGAAGAATTGCAGATGCATTGCCGGCCTTCTAAAAAGGAGTAAGCTCGTTTCTTGAAGGTCCCTAAGTCGTATCGGTCCACAAAAATTGCCGTTGGTAAACGATTCCTAAGAAAACTCCTAATAAATCGCACGGTAGGGGACCGCCAAGCATCCAAATGACGTGGATGGTAACGTAAGTTTTGTCACGATGTGTGTTGGTGAAATTTGGTGGCTGGTATTAATCCTAACAATTCCTCAGAGCACTCCCCGTATTAAATACGATAGAAAATCGAGCCAATCAAAGAGAACTCGGTCGTCGACGATTCGAGCCGCTCTGCTCTGCAGACATTTGGAAGGAGCTCGTACTGGGGAGCCCCGGCCCAGAGATGAGAAAAGTATTATATGCGAGGCCGAACCTGCGCTTATAAAGTTGCAAACAGTCGCTTTTTTGTTTTAGTTTCCCGCTCTACTGACTACGCCAAGCTTTTTAGAAGCCAATTTAGCTTTCTCTTCCAAGTGACCATGCTACTGCAGGTCATTCGATATGTCGACTTCGAAGATTCCGCTGTTGGCTACAGCAACAAGGGAAATGCTATGAAATTTAGGAGATACGACAAAGGTGATCTTTTTAATGGTAAACGCGCAAAAATGTGAATTTGTATAATAATTTATTTTATAAAGACCTTTAAGTTCAAAGCTTTTCTAAAATATGTTACTTACTTACTTACTTATCTTCACGCACAATCCCTGACGGGGTAGCCAGAGATAACAGATCGCCAAGTGTCACGATCCTTACAAACCTCTTTCGCTTCTTTCAGATTCATTATCTTTTTCATGCATGCACGTCTAGGTATCCGAGTACTCTTGACCCTACCCTCTTCGAGCAATTTGCTCACATGGTCTTCGAAAGTTAGTCTCGGTCTACCTCGACACCTTTTAATATTAACTTTCGCGCTGTATATTTTCTTCACCATTCGGTCTTCACTCATTCGCTCAACGTGCCCAAACCACCGAAGCACGCCCTTATCAATTTTTGTGATAAGGTCATCTTTCAAACCTGCCATATTGCGAATCTCTTCGTTTCGCTTTCGGTCGGCCATGGTAACGCCGCACATTTTACGAAGAGATCGCATCTCCACTGCATTCAACTTACTTTTATGCTTCTTCTGGCATACCCAGGTTTCGCTGCCATATAACAAAGTCGGTACCAACACTGCGTTATGTATTGCAAGGCGTGCACTCTTCGCTACGCCTTCCCTTTTGACTAACGCAGTCAGGGCACCATTGACTTTGTTCCCGGCAGCGACACGCCTGTCCACATCTAAATCACATCTTCCATCCCGGCTAAAAGCACTCCCCAAGTATACAATTTATATTAATTTACAATTTATGTTAGATTTAAAGTATAGTTTTGTAAAAGAAACGAATTTGAAAACATGGAGGCGCTGTCTTATTGGATTTCACGTTTCGCGATGTGCCTTCGACACCGACCGACCAATGATATGCTATTATTATAGCGTCAAATAGACCTAGTGACGTCATCCAAGCTACCAATATGACTGCTGTGTGAATTGATTCTTAGTTATTGGAAATTTAAAATTATATTTCATGACATTTCATTTCATTCATGACGTTATTCATTATTTTAAACGTTTAAATGAATTTTTTTGGTGTGATGGGAGTCATAGTAAATAGATTTATATAATAAAAAAGCATGCATATTCCCTATTATTATATCGTAAAGCATTACAAACTTAGTAATCTTCAACAACATTATCGATACTTTGAACATTCAACAACATTCCTAAAACTGGTGTTACCCTACATTTAGTAGCGTCACCTACTGGGGAATAGCTAAAATGTTTTCTTAATAAATATTCTGTGTACTTTTGCTATGTTTAGCTAGAGGGTGTCATACACGCGCGATCTCAAAGTTTTTGAATGAAAACGTTCTCTATGTACGCTCTATAGTATACCTATATATTTAAATCTCTTTGATCATAAAGTACTCGAAGTATAATATCATTTATTGAAATGATCTGGTCATTTCAAAAAATTATATTGATTTAAAAAAAATTTAAACGTGCCATGCTGCAGCTGTATTAGTAATACAGTTGTAGCACCAATGGGTCGGCTCGACCAGGGAAGGACCACGCTCTCACAGAATACCGGCGTAAAATAGCAGCTTAACACTGCTGTGTTTCGTATGGTGAGTGTAGAGAACCGAAGACTCTTTTTACTGGAAAAGAGGCATTCTATCTTAGTCTTCACGGGTGACAACGCATCTGCTTTTTGATTCGTAAACGAGGATAGATGTAGATGTCTATGGGCCACAGCAACCACTTACCATCAGGTGAACTGTGTGTTTGTTTGTCACCCTATCCTATAAAAAATCATGATATTTAACACTGTTCGTTGACCATGTCATGATATAGCTTGACCAAATAATTGAATAGAAATCGTTTGATATCATTAAATCGTTTTTCACCGCTAACGGCGCTGATAGCGTATTTTTTAACAGAAACAGAACTTTTAATGCAATTGACATCATTTTATGCCTGATTGATATAGTAATTAAATGAATTTTCGCTTCTGTTGCTGATATTATTAGATAGTATAGTTTTGACTTTCATTGTTTCATCTACGCCAGTATATCCTAAGTCTATCGTTTCATCTAATAAAAGCGCCATCTACTTACTTCTAAATAAACGAAAATAGTACATAAGTCACTGATAAAATTAAATAATAGAATGCCACTGAATATAGGATGTAAATAATTAAAATTTGTTCGTGGCATCGTTGGATGTGTAATTACTAGGTAGATGTGGTCAACAATCATGCAAAAGCTTAGTTTTAGTTATTATGAATTGTGTTTACCTAAACTTTCATATTTTCCGACATATTCCGCCTTATTCCAAAACACGGACTTAATATAGTACTGGAGTTAGTAATATATTTAAACCATAAACTAAGAAAAACGTTATTACAAAACGAAGATTATCTCTGGTTCAAGGATTATCTATGGTATTAAAGTTAATCTTTCGAGACCCCTAGTTTAGCTATGGTACTAACCTTTCTATATAGTTTGTGGTACTCTATACTAACCTCAATTTCGGTACTTCTTAATTTGAGGTGAGCGTTGTTTTCATTTGGTGTTATTAAAATCGTTAAAAATGGTTATTAACATGATTGACTTGATGGATTTAGAAGATTTGGACATGCTAGACACCACTCGGCGACCTGATAGACATCGACATCGTGTGAATCCGTTTGAATTGAGTGACGAAGGTTTTAGGTATAAGTATAGGTTCTCAAAACGTTTCGGAGAAAAAATAGTGGGTATCTTACGTGAGGATTTAGTGCACGACCCTCGAGGATGCCCATTGAGTCCTGAAATTCAAGTGGTTTGTGCATTACGCAACTGGGCTCGCCATGAAGTAAGTGCTGTTTATAATCTTGGTGGGGTCAATGTACCTAACATTACGCTAGATAAAAAGCCAAATAATACATATTATTGTTTTATTCGTAGATTCAAGACGATACAGCTGATTTACATGGTGTGTCTCAACCAGTAGTAAGTAGGACATGTAAAAAAGTAGCGGAAATTTTGTCACGGAAGTCCCGAGAATTTATTAAAATGCCTACTACTTTAAATGAACAGCAGGAAACCATTAGGAAATTTCGCAGTATTGCTAATTTTCCTACAGTAATTGGCGCAATTGACTGTACTCACATACGAGTAAAGAAAGTGAATGCTGATGGGGGTCAGTTATATATTAATAGAAAAGGATTTTCTTCAATTAATGTACAGGTAATATACAAATATTTTAAATAGCTGTGATTGTCTCTTAATAACTTTACTTTATCATAATAGAAAATAATTTGTTTGACTATCTTATGGTAATAAATATATATTAAAATAAACCAGAAAAACATAAAGTACTAATGAGCTCTTATTTTACAGGTAGTTTGTGACGCTGACCTGAAAATCATGGACATTGTTACCAGGTGGCGTGGTAGTGTACATGACTCCAGATTATTCCGAGAATGTAGACTAAAACAGAGGTTTGAGGCTGGTGCATTCTCTAGAATATTACTTGGTGACAGTGGCTATCCTTGTTACCCCTTACCTATTTACACCGCTGCTGAACCCCACAACACCACAAGAAGAAAGATATAATAGGAGCCATATCCGTACCAGGAACACAGTGGAAAGATGTTTTGGTTTGTGGAAGCAACAGTTTCGTTGCCTATTAAGAGGTATGTTTGGAGATATTGAAACAGCAAAAAAAACAATTGTTGCATGTGCTGTACTACACAATATGGCCATCGACATGAGAGAAGATGTGTTTTCTGGTGAGAGAGATAGCATTGAACAATATTCATCTGAACCTATAGTACAAAGATATATTGCACCATCAATAAGGGGAAATATTAGAAGAAGACAGTTTATTGAAACTCATTTTCAGTAGGTAAACATTTTTTTTTACATATTTATATAGCTATTTATAATTAAAATTAATAATTATATTTATAAAATTGTCAATTTTTTTTCAATTGTCTAAAGCTATGTATATATAATTTATTTTATTTTGTTATTCAGAGGCCAATTTTGGCTATAAAATTACATTAAGGATCAATAAATGTATAAGACAATTATAATAATATTTCTTTTTGATTTCAGAGATAATACCCATTTATAAAGGAAAATATTTCTGCAGAGCCGTTGTCAGCTGTCAAAGAATAACGACTACATATTCACCAATATGAAATAAATTCAGGGGAGTATTGTGATAATATTTCATTTATTGAGCAAAATGCTTTTATTTAGGCTATAAATGATTGTGTTTCAGGGAAAGATGCGGGGTACAGCACATTCCACATCAATATGAAGCTATATTATATAAAGATTTAAGTGCTTTAGAGATATGTTTAGATTTTTTAATAAATATCGTCCCTCCTCTACATTCACAGCCGGATTTCCTTTCCAGAGGTGCACGGGTCCACGGGGAGTAGGACTGTATGATGACTAAGTAATTAGGTTTAGTTTTTTTTATTATAGTTTTTTACTATTGTATATTATATTTCATTGTTATGTAAATAAAATGCATATTAATTATAATTATTTATTTTAATTATTAATAAAAGATGTACAAATATTTGCAGCAATTTAGTACCTGAAAATAATTGTTTCATATATGAGGATATTTACAAACATGTATCTGATATAGTCTCAAATATTTAGTTTTTTTTATAGGATAATGGTGATAAACACAGTCTACCACACACACACATACACACACACAGTCCATCTGATGTTAAGTAACTGCTGTGGTGCATAGACGTCCACATCTATCCTCGACTACAAATCAAAATGCAGATGCGTTGTCACCCGTGTGGAGTAAGATGGAATGCCTCGTTTCCTGTAAAAGAGGTCTCTCTCATACAAAATTTGTACAAAAATTTATCCAAAATTTGTCAATAAACAAGTTTAAATGTTTTATTAAAGAAAAATTTTATAAAAAGGTTATTATAATATCAAAGAATACATAAATGAGAATATTGGAAATACTGGAATTGAGGTGATCGCCACCATGGTGGTTCTATTAAAATTCATTTAAAAATTGTACAAATAAAATTATTGTTAACAGAAATATGTTTATAAAAAAGTCCCGCTGGGTTTCTTACTAGTTCTTCCCAGGACTGAGGTATTTTCCGAACCAGTGGTAAATAAAAAATGTCTTTCAATAAGTATTCTGTAATAATCTATATTTAATAAAAATCATTCTATTCTATTCTCATTCTATAAACTCACCATAATAAACACAGCAGCATTAAGCTGCTATTTAACTTGTGTTTTTCTGACTTTCTAATAAAAATATTTGTAACTCTAATTTTCTAATTTTTAGGTTAGCTATTTTAATATTGTATTTATGTTCCTCTTCCATCATTTCCAGTTGTCTTTTTTTAAAATCTGTGTTACTTTTTACAATTGTTTGGTGTACATCTTCTCTTCTGTAAAATGAAATGGAATACTTAATGTAAGTTTTGTAGTTATTTTAGAAATTTACAAAGTATTCTAGAGTAATAAAAGTGCACTTAACCTTGTACACCAATTAAAGAAATATTTTTTAATTATTTTTAAATCAATTCATATTAAACTTTGCTTTTAATATTTGAAAACATGAAACAATTTTCAGTGTTTAAATACTAATTTTCACATTTTAAAAAGTATGTAATGTATCAGACTATGTAATTTTTTCAACATACCTATTTTGCAAGCTATTTTTCCTGTTTTTAATTTTTGTTATACCCCTAGTAATAATATCTTTATTGTTGGTTATTTTCACCATTTTGGCACTTTCTTCTGTATCTGTAGTTGGATCTATCTCTAAAAATTAATATAAATATAACAGTTTTAGAAAATTAACATTTATAATATTTACAAACTTGTATGCATATGATTGTAACTATAATAATAATATATTTTGCTTTTTAATAAATATTCAATCAGTATTATTTACCTTGCACATATACAACATTGGGTTCTGGATTTTCTACATTTTTAACTATAGCTGTGTCTGTTTTTTCAAAATTAAGGCGAGGCTTAGGGTCAGCAACTTCTTTTGATGTTGTAGCCACAGTCACTGGATCCTAAAATAAATCATTAAAACATTTATTAACATGTTTTCCTGTCACCTGTCATCTCTATTTTGCCCTTTATTGAATCAGGTATTTTCTATGTTGTAGAAATATTATTATGATCCAAGACAAAAGGTAATTTAATAAATTATTAATTATAATACCTAATAGACAAAAATAGAAAATTATAATCGGACTGTGTAGATAATCTAGTAAAATGTGTGTTATGATATTATATAGACCACTATATATGAATTTGTGACATTTCAATTTTGAATATAATTAATTATAAAGAAATTTATGTTAAATTGTTACTAAGTATATTAAATTTTGAATATTCGGAAAATAATTTTGGATTGTAAATTGTATGCTTTAAGAGTAGATTTCAGAGCACTACCTAGGTACTAAAGTAATGGAAAATAAAGTTCTTTAATTTTAATTAAATTTGTAAGACATGTAAGTAATTTTATTTACCACTGCATCACTATCATAATTATTAACTTCAATGATAAAGTCGTGAGGGGCAATGGACATTATTTCCAAGTCCTCAAGAGAAGGTGATGGAGGTTTTCCGCCACCACCGGTCTTTGATTGTTCCCTCCTATATGTGTATAAGTTTGATTTAGCACACAACTTCATTCTTTTCCAAGATAATTTCAATTCACCATCTGATCGGCGTTTACCTGTTATCTCATTAAATCTATAAAAAAAATACGAAATCACGTAAACAATACCGTACCTATTTGTACACATAACAAATGCGATAAGTACTTACTTATTAGTTATATTCTTCCACTCTTTTATTTTTTGAATATTTACCGATGTTTTTGTCGACTTATTCTCTATTATATGTGCTGATTGTGAAATAAGTGTACGTAATATTTCCTATAATAATAAGAACATTCCTTTTAGTTGAAATAAGGATAATAGGAGGATAAGAGTATTGCTACGTACTGACAAATAAATTTCGATATTTCACTAACTTTTTCTTCAGAACTCCAATTTTCACCCCGTTTTTTCTTTTGTTCCATTATTATATAAATATAATTGTAATAGCAAGTACTTAATTAATTATTAATAATTTAATTTACTTATTATAAGGCTGCAATATAAACAATTTTGAACGTCTCGAATCCCGCGCTCGCGTTACCTCTGTAATTCACTACATTTCACGCTAGAGTTGTTAAACTGAAAACAACTTGATATAATCAAAAGCGCGTCAAAAGTATATGTCGTGCTTGTTCAATAGATTTTAACGTAAACAAATAACAATGTATGATATGTTTTTGTATTGATGGATAATTATTTAAGCATAATTAAATGTGAAAATAATATTAATATTTTATGAAACCGAACGTTGCATTGAATGAAACCTGTATGAACGAATGATAGAGTGTCATTTTTGTTTTTTATCTGTGAATGATATTTAATATAATACTAACGTTGGTATTAACTGGTCCTCGGGTAGTCTGCGTTTTGTAATAAGCACACGTTTTAGTGCTGGTATTAACTAGAATATTGTAACAAACCTGGACTTCTTACTCCTAAACTTAACCCAGTACTAAAACATTTTTTTGGAATAAGACTGACACAGTCCATCTGATGTTAAGTAACTGCTGTGGTGCATAGACGTCCACATCTATCCTCGACTACAAATCAAAATGCAGATGCGTTGTCACCCGTGTGGAGTAAGATGGAATGCCTCGTTTCCTGTAAAAGAGGTCTCTCTCATACAAAATTTGTACAAAAATTTATCCAAAATTTGTCAATAAACAAGTTTAAATGTTTTATTAAAGAAAAATTTTATAAAAAGGTTATTATAATATCAAAGAATACATAAATGAGAATATTGGAAATACTGGAATTGAGGTGATCGCCACCATGGTGGTTCTATTAAAATTCATTTAAAAATTGTACAAATAAAATTATTGTTAACAGAAATATGTTTATAAAAAAGTCCCGCTGGGTTTCTTACTAGTTCTTCCCAGGACTGAGGTATTTTCCGAACCAGTGGTAAATAAAAAATGTCTTTCAATAAGTATTCTGTAATAATCTATATTTAATAAAAATCATTCTATTCTATTCTCATTCTATAAACTCACCATAATAAACACAGCAGCATTAAGCTGCTATTTAACTTGTGTTTTTCTGACTTTCTAATAAAAATATTTGTAACTCTAATTTTCTAATTTTTAGGTTAGCTATTTTAATATTGTATTTATGTTCCTCTTCCATCATTTCCAGTTGTCTTTTTTTAAAATCTGTGTTACTTTTTACAATTGTTTGGTGTACATCTTCTCTTCTGTAAAATGAAATGGAATACTTAATGTAAGTTTTGTAGTTATTTTAGAAATTTACAAAGTATTCTAGAGTAATAAAAGTGCACTTAACCTTGTACACCAATTAAAGAAATATTTTTTAATTATTTTTAAATCAATTCATATTAAACTTTGCTTTTAATATTTGAAAACATGAAACAATTTTCAGTGTTTAAATACTAATTTTCACATTTTAAAAAGTATGTAATGTATCAGACTATGTAATTTTTTCAACATACCTATTTTGCAAGCTATTTTTCCTGTTTTTAATTTTTGTTATACCCCTAGTAATAATATCTTTATTGTTGGTTATTTTCACCATTTTGGCACTTTCTTCTGTATCTGTAGTTGGATCTATCTCTAAAAATTAATATAAATATAACAGTTTTAGAAAATTAACATTTATAATATTTACAAACTTGTATGCATATGATTGTAACTATAATAATAATATATTTTGCTTTTTAATAAATATTCAATCAGTATTATTTACCTTGCACATATACAACATTGGGTTCTGGATTTTCTACATTTTTAACTATAGCTGTGTCTGTTTTTTCAAAATTAAGGCGAGGCTTAGGGTCAGCAACTTCTTTTGATGTTGTAGCCACAGTCACTGGATCCTAAAATAAATCATTAAAACATTTATTAACATGTTTTCCTGTCACCTGTCATCTCTATTTTGCCCTTTATTGAATCAGGTATTTTCTATGTTGTAGAAATATTATTATGATCCAAGACAAAAGGTAATTTAATAAATTATTAATTATAATACCTAATAGACAAAAATAGAAAATTATAATCGGACTGTGTAGATAATCTAGTAAAATGTGTGTTATGATATTATATAGACCACTATATATGAATTTGTGACATTTCAATTTTGAATATAATTAATTATAAAGAAATTTATGTTAAATTGTTACTAAGTATATTAAATTTTGAATATTCGGAAAATAATTTTGGATTGTAAATTGTATGCTTTAAGAGTAGATTTCAGAGCACTACCTAGGTACTAAAGTAATGGAAAATAAAGTTCTTTAATTTTAATTAAATTTGTAAGACATGTAAGTAATTTTATTTACCACTGCATCACTATCATAATTATTAACTTCAATGATAAAGTCGTGAGGGGCAATGGACATTATTTCCAAGTCCTCAAGAGAAGGTGATGGAGGTTTTCCGCCACCACCGGTCTTTGATTGTTCCCTCCTATATGTGTATAAGTTTGATTTAGCACACAACTTCATTCTTTTCCAAGATAATTTCAATTCACCATCTGATCGGCGTTTACCTGTTATCTCATTAAATCTATAAAAAAAATACGAAATCACGTAAACAATACCGTACCTATTTGTACACATAACAAATGCGATAAGTACTTACTTATTAGTTATATTCTTCCACTCTTTTATTTTTTGAATATTTACCGATGTTTTTGTCGACTTATTCTCTATTATATGTGCTGATTGTGAAATAAGTGTACGTAATATTTCCTATAATAATAAGAACATTCCTTTTAGTTGAAATAAGGATAATAGGAGGATAAGAGTATTGCTACGTACTGACAAATAAATTTCGATATTTCACTAACTTTTTCTTCAGAACTCCAATTTTCACCCCGTTTTTTCTTTTGTTCCATTATTATATAAATATAATTGTAATAGCAAGTACTTAATTAATTATTAATAATTTAATTTACTTATTATAAGGCTGCAATATAAACAATTTTGAACGTCTCGAATCCCGCGCTCGCGTTACCTCTGTAATTCACTACATTTCACGCTAGAGTTGTTAAACTGAAAACAACTTGACATAATCAAAAGCGCGTCAAAAGTATATGTCGTGCTTGTTCAATAGATTTTAACGTAAACAAATAACAATGTATGATATGTTTTTGTATTGATGGATAATTATTTAAGCATAATTAAATGTGAAAATAATATTAATATTTTATGAAACCGAACGTTGCATTGAATGAAACCTGTATGAACGAATGATAGAGTGTCATTTTTTGTTTTTTATCTGTGAATGATATTTAATATAATACTAACGTTGGTATTAACTGGTCCTCGGGTAGTCTGCGTTTTGTAATAAGCACACGTTTTAGTGCTGGTATTAACTAGAATATTGTAACAAACCTGGACTTCTTACTCCTAAACTTAACCCAGTACTAAAACATTTTTTTGGAATAAGACTGACACAGTCCATCTGATGTTAAGTAACTGCTGTGGTGCATAGACGTCCACATCTATCCTCGACTACAAATCAAAATGCAGATGCGTTGTCACCCGTGTGGAGTAAGATGGAATGCCTCGTTTCCTGTAAAAGAGGTCTCTCTCATACAAAATTTGTACAAAAATTTATCCAAAATTTGTCAATAAACAAGTTTAAATGTTTTATTAAAGAAAAATTTTATAAAAAGGTTATTATAATATCAAAGAATACATAAATGAGAATATTGGAAATACTGGAATTGAGGTGATCGCCACCATGGTGGTTCTATTAAAATTCATTTAAAAATTGTACAAATAAAATTATTGTTAACAGAAATATGTTTATAAAAAAGTCCCGCTGGGTTTCTTACTAGTTCTTCCCAGGACTGAGGTATTTTCCGAACCAGTGGTAAATAAAAAATGTCTTTCAATAAGTATTCTGTAATAATCTATATTTAATAAAAATCATTCTATTCTATTCTCATTCTATAAACTCACCATAATAAACACAGCAGCATTAAGCTGCTATTTAACTTGTGTTTTTCTGACTTTCTAATAAAAATATTTGTAACTCTAATTTTCTAATTTTTAGGTTAGCTATTTTAATATTGTATTTATGTTCCTCTTCCATCATTTCCAGTTGTCTTTTTTTAAAATCTGTGTTACTTTTTACAATTGTTTGGTGTACATCTTCTCTTCTGTAAAATGAAATGGAATACTTAATGTAAGTTTTGTAGTTATTTTAGAAATTTACAAAGTATTCTAGAGTAATAAAAGTGCACTTAACCTTGTACACCAATTAAAGAAATATTTTTTAATTATTTTTAAATCAATTCATATTAAACTTTGCTTTTAATATTTGAAAACATGAAACAATTTTCAGTGTTTAAATACTAATTTTCACATTTTAAAAAGTATGTAATGTATCAGACTATGTAATTTTTTCAACATACCTATTTTGCAAGCTATTTTTCCTGTTTTTAATTTTTGTTATACCCCTAGTAATAATATCTTTATTGTTGGTTATTTTCACCATTTTGGCACTTTCTTCTGTATCTGTAGTTGGATCTATCTCTAAAAATTAATATAAATATAACAGTTTTAGAAAATTAACATTTATAATATTTACAAACTTGTATGCATATGATTGTAACTATAATAATAATATATTTTGCTTTTTAATAAATATTCAATCAGTATTATTTACCTTGCACATATACAACATTGGGTTCTGGATTTTCTACATTTTTAACTATAGCTGTGTCTGTTTTTTCAAAATTAAGGCGAGGCTTAGGGTCAGCAACTTCTTTTGATGTTGTAGCCACAGTCACTGGATCCTAAAATAAATCATTAAAACATTTATTAACATGTTTTCCTGTCACCTGTCATCTCTATTTTGCCCTTTATTGAATCAGGTATTTTCTATGTTGTAGAAATATTATTATGATCCAAGACAAAAGGTAATTTAATAAATTATTAATTATAATACCTAATAGA